ATTTAAAAATAATATATAAAAAATAAATTTTTTTTAAAAAAATTATAAAAATAGAATTCAAAAATTGTTATTAATAATTTTTTATGAAAGTATAAAAATTTAAAAATAAAAAATTATAAAATATTAAAAATTGTTGATGATAATTATCTAAAAAAAATAAAAACTTGTAAACAATGATTTTTAACAATAATAAAATATTCTAAAAATTACAAGTCGCCTCACTCCAATGTAATTTAGGTTTGAGCACAGAGTGTGCTCGACTGCAAGTCATTCAAGCATTGTGTAATTTATATATAAATTTTAATTCGTTACATTTTAGCACGATTTATGTATTAAGTATAGTTAAAGCATATTTTAAATTTTTGAAAAATAGGGCATTTTTAAAGATATTTTTTTTATTTTAATTAAAAAAATTTTATTATTAATATTTTCCATAGAATGTATCTTTATTATGGCATTTTTTATTCCTATTATTAAAAATATTTATGAGTTCTGTAGACTCGATATATCCGAGTAATCCAATATAATTCAATTAAAAAGTAAAAATTGACTATTTTTTACACTCTATACTATTTTGATTTTTGTTTAGTTTTTTTAAAGTAAAAATTAAAAATGGACAACTATTTTAATTTTTTTTCAATTTATTTGAAGTGAAAAATTAAAGATTGACAAATGATTTAATATTTTAATTTTTAAATATTATATATTATTTTTAAGTTGTACTATGAGTATTAAACTTTATATTTTATAATTTACAAAAAGTTATCAAAATTTATTTTTTATTTTATATTACTTTAATTTTTTATTTTAAATAAATTTTAAACTATTAATATTATATTTTAAAATTAATAATTTTTAAAATTTTAATAAATTTGTTGTTTAAGATGTTAAGATTAACATCAATTATACACACCATTTTAATATTTTTATAAATATCATAAATGTTAACTCGACTATCCAACTTATTTATAAGGCCATTCAAGTTGAATATTGTTTTTATTAAAATGGATCCCACTCAATCCATAAAATTTTGACCAAATAAATTATTTTTTATATTAAAACTCAGTAAAATCCAAGGCATTCACGAACCCTACCTTGCGGAGTGAGTGATAACTAGTTTTACAGCAAGGAAAAGTGATAAATATGTTTATTTTGAAAATCATTTATAAGACAGTAAACTACTAATGTACACCCAGTTTGGAGGGAAAGGCTGATAAACACGTGGGTTGAGTATAGATTCGCTTAAGAATGACTAAAAAATGAGACACATGGAAGGTACACTGTCTAACGCCAACCATGCTTTCCCACACTGCAATGCCATGGCTCTGCTAAGCTCCATGCAATGAATCATAATGTTGAAGAGCAAGTTCGTTCTCAACAACACCATGCAACATATCTCGTTCATCTCATCATACAGCAATAGCAGAAATCTGATCTTGCTGCACTCAAATCGCAGAAACTGCGTTGTCCTTGGCTCGTGAACATTTGTTTCCATTTTTAATGGCTAGTAGGTTGATAAACGGAAGAGCAGAGCGCACTGTAATCTCTGTGGTCGGAATGGGAGGATTGGGAAAAACCACTCTTGCTAAGGAAATTTTTGACAACTGTTAGAAATTTTCAAGAGGAAAGAAAAGCAGAATATGCTTAACATAGAACAATAACATATATCGAAGGAGAAAGATAACAACTTGCATTCTTGAAACCGGAAACATTATAATTTATAAGGCTTAAAAGAATAATTACCCACTAACAACGTGCTCTTAGGAGTAAGCCATGAACACAAACTGGGATAACAAAGTACCTACGGACTCCTTAAAACCAGAAAAACATCAACAAATAAAAATAACAAAATCAAAACGTAGCTTACAAATAAATCAAAATCAAGGTGACAGGCGTTTGAAAAGTCATTCATAAATTACAAATACAATTATTCAGAACATATCATAAGTAATGGAAACCTATTTCATGCTTACATAATAAGTAATGAGGTTAATCTTCTAATAACAGAATGCTCAATATTAGTTGACATGCATAACTTTTGGCATAGGAATGTCAATGTTGGAGTTCTCCAACTATACTCTCCTCTGATAGTAAGATACTCTAGCAATGGAAGGTACCTAATTGGACCTGCTAGAGGAAGGATCAGCTAACATAAACTCACCTATTAACCTCAGAATATAAGTTCTAGCAAAGCGAGTAAGTTGAAGTTTTTATGATTATGCATTGCAACATGTGTAAAGTGTTGGTTAGTCTGAATAGAAATGTCTTGAAGAGTTATAGTACACACTATCCAGGAGGCATATGGAATGTATGAGTCTCTAGCCTCCATCTTTCCACCAAGGCTGTAATAAGATGTCGGTCAATAGGAAAGTATGTCAATTGAACTACTCCAGCAAATCCAGCTAAGGTAAGATAAGGAGGTATTTCCATTGGAAACCCTTCCATCATAGTTGGTATGAAGTGACTCATTCTCACTTCAAAATTGGGTGCTCACTTCCATCTCAAATATGATCCGATACGTTAACAGATTGATACCTCAATAATGAACCATTCTCTGGGCCAGGATTTAAAATCCTACTCCATGATAAAGATGATGTCATCTGAAATAAAATTTGTTAACTTAAACTGAAATTATGTCCATTTAAATTAATAGATTAAAAATTCTATTAATTTTATTATTTTATTTTTCATTATTACCTAATTTTTATTACAATTATTTAACTATAACAATTTCAAAATTTTAAATTAACTTAAAAAATGATTTCATTTAATTATTATATTAAATATTTTTTTAACAATTTAACAACTTTTAAATATTATTTTACAATTATAATAAATAATAAAAAATGTAATTACGTGCACTAAATTCATTGTTGTATATCAAATTTTACACTTACAAAAAATTAACAGATACATTATTTTATCACACCTAATTTATTTATGTAATTCTTTATATTAAATCATAAATTCATTATTTTTAATTTTATTATTCTTATTCAATAATAATTTTGTTTCTTAAATTATAATTTTTTTAAAAAATATGTAATGTTTTAAATAAATTTGATGACATCATTATTATATTTTGTTGCTAATTTTTTTATGAATATGATATTATACATATGTTTATAATTATTTTCTTTTTATAATATAATTGTATATGTTTTTTTTCTCAATAAATTTAATAAAAATATTTTATTTTATTTTTTAAAAAAACTAATTATTATTTTTACTACATCTAATAATTTTTTTGTCACAAATTCTTTAGTATATCTTAATCTACCATCAAAATATAAAAAATTTATTATTTCTCTAGGGTCAATTATTTCGGCCATTCTGATGCATTCCATATACTTTTTTTTTTATAACTATGTTTTTTATTTCTTTTTTCTGAACCGTATATCTTAATATCAAATTTTCTTTCCTCTTAATTTAACAATTAATTACTATAAAAATTTATTTTAATATTTAATAATTAAAATATATTTTTTACTTACTAAAATTTAAATTAAATATATTCTTTAACTAACAAATTATAAATATTTAATATTATATTATATAATTTCTAATACAATTTATCTCAAATTTTAAATTATAAACTTTTAAGCAAATAAGTAATGTTTTAAATAAATTTGATGACATACTTATTATATTTTATTACTAATTTTTAATAAATTTATTTTTTAAAATATGTTTATAATATAACTATATATGTTATTTTTATCAATAATTTTAATAAAATTATTGTATTTAGTTTTTTTCAAAAACTAAATATTATTTTTACTACTAACAATATTTTTTATTTCACAAATTTTTTTATATATCAATCTACCATCAAAATATCAAAATTTATTATTTCTCGTGCATTTATTATTTAATATTTTCACTGCATTCTATATATATTTTTTCATCATCATGTTTTCAATTTTTTTACTGAACTATATATATATATATATATATATATATATATATATATATATATTCCTCTTAATTTATCAATTTATTACAATCAAAATTTTTCTTATTATTTAATAATTAATACATATTATAGATTACTATAATTTTTATTTAATATATTTTTAAACAACCAATTATAACAATAATAATTATATTATATAATTTCTAATACAATTTATCTAAAATTTTATTTGTTATAAAATACAAAAATTAATTTTTAAAATATTTAAAAATAAAAAATAAATTGTGCACCTCCACTGCTCTAATATGAATTTCAACCCTCTTTTTCATGAGCTCCACCTAATCACTGAGAAATGCTTCATTTACACCACAATCTCAATATTACATGCATATAATTTCATGTTTAAAAATTAAAATATATTCAATCAATTATTTCTTTTATCTTATAATAATTTTTTTCTTAAAAATCTGAATATCATAAGCCAACAAATGTGCCTATGCTCTGTTATTTTTTTCGACCGTCTGAAACTTCTGCAACGTAAGATGGTAACAGAAAAAAGAAAGGAGTAGAGAAAGGAAGACAAAATCACGCTCTAGAATTCCTATGCCACGTAGATTAATCATATTTGTGTCATCTCAAACCCAGATACCATTGAAGTCGGTTTTGCCGCCGACACTCTAAGATATGCATATGTCTCTTCTTTCTTCTCTACCGTTGGCTTTGAATTATTTTAAAATTTATTTCCGTTTAATTGATGTCGTCTCGCATCTAGATAATTCTTTTGCCACATAACTTCCCAACCCGAGTCCAAAAATTCGTTTCCATTCAATCCTAATTTGGTAATTTTTTTATAAAATAACCCCAAAAGGGCAAAAAAACCCACAATTTGCCTCACCATCTTAAATCATGCTTTTTGTAATCTGGAACGGTGGCGCATTTAAAGGACTCGCTGTTGGGTTAACTAAAATCAGAGAAAAAAAATTAAATTTGCTTAAGCAAATTTAACATGATTTCTTGTATTTGCAATTTCAGATGCATGGCATTCTTTAAAAATAAAAAAAGCAAAGCAGACAATTTCAAGAATTTGTTCAGCCATTATGGCAATTTTACCGAAATTCGCGGTGCATCGAACCACAGGTCAACTACATATTATTTGATAACAGCAATAAGACATATGCATGCAAGGAATTATGATATTCATAAATGGCTAGAACTTGTACTTATTTATTCATAATCAACTCTAGCAAAGCTAAATTGACGGCTGTAGTTGAAACTTGAATATCACCCAAGTAACTCTTGCAGCTTCTGAACGAAACTATCAATATAAGTGTTCTCCAAATCCTTGCTTAGTAAGAGGTTTCTCAATTGTAAATGATTTGCTCTGACCTCCCTTCCAACCGCACTCTCGTCATCCATCACAGTCTTGACAGCTTTGCAGACACTCTCCTTTGTGAACAAACCATCCTCTTCTCCTTTCTCCACTTCAACACCAACCTTCAAGCTACTGCTTAACATTTTTGCAATGAGGATCTGGTCAGCATAATTATTTGATAAGGCCACAATCTGACACTTGTTCACAAGTGCCTCTATCAAAGATCCAGATCCACAATGTGAAATGAAACACCCTATAGATGGGTGCTCAAGAATTAATGTCTGCTGAACCCAACCCCCATGTACAATGCCTCTTTCTTGAACCCTCTCTTTGAATCCTTCAGGCAAAGCTGCTTCAACAGACTCAAATCCAATAGGTGCTTTAAGTGCTGCAAGAAATGGAAAACCTGTTAACTCAAGACCCAGCAACAATTCCTTGAACTGATCATGATTTATCCTCCATTCACTTCCAAATGCACAGTATATCACTGAACCAGGTTTGAATCCTGCAAGCCATTCAGCCCATTTTTCATCCAAAGTGGAAGTGTTTGGCTCTGGTAGGACAGGCCCTGAAAGCAAAAAAGGCTTCCCAAACAAGGTTTCAAGGTAGTCAGCATATTGTCCCTCGAGTTCTCTACAACCTTTGAATCCAACTGCATCTGAAAATCTGTTGCCAGTGCTGATGCGATCATGCAAACGAACACCACTGCCAAGCTCTAATTTGATGAATGAAGCTAAAAATCGAACCTCATGAGCTTGAAGCTTGAAGGAAGAATCTGGGAACCCAACTGGGGGATGCACCAACTCATCTGCATCTAAGTTATTTTCCTGACATAGCTTTTCCATGGATTCCAGATAAGCTGCTGACGTCAAGCTTGTGATTATGTACTGAACAGACTTGATGCCTAAGCGCCGGGTCAAGCTCGGCATCCAACATGTGAGATCGAAGAGTACAACGTTGGGTTTCAGATGAAGTAAAAGTAGTTCAATGTCTTTCTCAGTACGATCCATGGCAGTCATAAGATGCGTGATTAGAGAAAAGGGAACATCTGCAGTGGTCTCAGCATCAGAAGGAAGGCCATCAACTTGGGGAATGGGGATGGGGAATAATGTTATCAAATGTGGATGAAGGTTCAAATGTTCCAACTTTGCCTTAGTTCTTTTGGGTAGAAAGAAGGAGATTCTGTGTCCTCTTCTTGCTAATTTGTTGGCTAAGTGGAGAAACGGTGATATGTGTCCCATAGCAAACCATGGGTACATAGCTACGTGTAACTGCAACAGTGGTGTGGCCATGGAAGTCTCAAAAATATCAACACTACAAATGTTTGATTGGAGAGAGACAGCCACTATCGGCTTTGTGGTTATGAAGTGTTGGTTCCTTTTCTGCACAGAGATACCCTGAATAAATAAGTAAATTAAGAATTTAATTTTAATTTTGCAATATTAAAAAAATGGCTTGATTTAGACTCTCTTGTCCTTATTTCTTTGGTCTGAATGAGCATAGTTTATATTTAAAAATCTTAATATCTGTTTTTTTATTAAAACTCCTTATAGATTTTTATATATTTAGAAAATTATTTTGTTGCCTTTTGTTATTTTATTTTTTTATCCCTGGGGTGATGTGTGAGTGAGCGATCAGTATTTCTACTACAATTAGTATACCCTGTTTGGAGGACCACTGTACAGTAACCTGTCTCAGTGAAAGGCTAAAGTGACACCATTTCCTACCACACATCCAACCTAACCCTTTCAAGTTTTCAACTTTGTACTGTTAACAAATGTACGATCTACTATGCATGTCTGCGAGCTGTACCCGAATTGTATCAATGAAACGAAGGAGCGTTTGTACGAATCTGAATCGGCCCATTTTTTATTTTAGCTTAATATTTCAAAAATAAGTTTAAAAGGAGTGCAAATTACACCCTTAAGCAAACTTGGACGCTTTCTGTTTGTCATTTTATGGTCATCCTGTGGTGCATCAATTTGGCAACACCCTATAAGTGAATTCTCTCATCCTTGGAAAGTCGAGTTCGCTAGGATGCACAACACTCAAAAACTGCATCAACATTTCTGTAAGGGGTCTAGGGCGGCGTATCAGAAGTGGAGGTTGGTGAATTATTTTAATAATATATATAGTAGTTAAATATAAAATAAAGAACATATATAATTATAAATACAATGATCAATTTTTTTTTAATTTATGTTATTTTTTATAGTTCTCCGATCATCAAAATGAACTTTATCGTAACCATAAAAAAAATTAATAAAGGAAGAAAGAGTTAAAAAAATATTAAAAAGTCAAAAAAATCATAAAAATTACATCAAAGCTAATATATTCAAATTAGCGATGTTTAAATTCTTGACAATGTTAGAAATTGTATTTGAGTAGAAATCATAGAAATTTAAGGTTAATGGATAAAAGTAATTTTATATAAGTAAACAACAAAAAATAGAAATAACATAAAAAAATTTAACAGTTATTATCATAACATTGATTATAAATTTTGTGATTATCCAAAAGAATTAATTCTTCGGGAAAGTTTTTTTCAAACTGTATGAACATCTAGAAATATTGAAGATTAGTGTTAGTCATGATGGTGATTATATCATTGACAATTAGTGTCTCATATTTAGGTTACAGTTTAGAATTCAATAAATAAAAATGTTATGATTTTAGATGCTAAAAACATCAGGTTACGAATTCATAAAACAATGAATATAACAATCTTTAAAATCTTAACTGTATTGTGCTTATTTGCACAGTTTGGACATGCACGGCTATACTTGAAGGATGACACGACCATGCTTAAAAGCTAGGTAACTGTGCTTGCATGTAGCCATGCATAAATGGAAGCATAATTGTGCTTTGTAACATGATTGTGCATGACAAAGCATGACCATGCTTAAAAGCTAGGTGACTGTGCTTGCATGCAGTCATGCATAAATGAAAGCATAATCGTGCTTTGTAGCATGATTGTGCATGACAAGTGGCACAACCCTACTTCACGACAAGTAGCATAATTTAATACTTTATTACATGAGTAGCTTATTAGCCATCAAAGTAATTTTATTTTAAAAAATTATTTAAATTTTTAATTATGTTATAAATTGTTCATATTTGTACGATACTGTTAATTAAGTGATATAAAATTTAGGATAAACAATTTAAATAATTAGTTATAACGCTAGGAGATTATCTAAAACTATATAATTACTTATAATTAATGGCCTTAAAGTGACATGTGGGCACTTGATAACATGTTTGAATATTCAAAGATAATATGCATGTTAACTTTAGTGTGAATGATTGTCCACTAAAGTATGTTCATTTTAGCATTATTATAGATTAAATCATGAATTTAAGTACTGTTCAAGGGTGAACTTAAATGCATAATTGATGTTGATTGATTGTTTAGATTCATTAAGTTTATTCAAAGTATTACCGTCTAAGTGTGAATGATTGTCCATTAAAGTATGTTCATTTTAGCATTATTATAGATTAAATTATGAATTTAAGTACTATTCAAGGGTGAACTTAAATGCATAATTGATGCTGATTGATTGTTTAAATTAGTTAAGTTTATTTAAAGTATTAACGTCTAAGTGTGTATTATATGCATATTACAGTCTCTATGAACAATTTTGACATGAGCAATATCATAGTGAATCAATGGATTGAACTATAATGATTGGGTTGAGCAAGTTCGATTCTAGTTAGGCATTATGATTTAGACCTATCAATCATAATGGAAATCATAATGGAAGAGAAGCTTGTATCCTTTACTGAGACCAATACAGATGACGAAAATACTCTTTATAAAGCTTGGAAAAGGTTTAACAGACTGAGTTTAAACTTGTTAAAGATGACTGTGGCTTAAAATGTAAAGCCATTGATGTCAAACGTTGAAAATGTTAGAGAATTTATGACAAAAGTAAAAAAGTATGCTCAGTCAGACATTATTAACAAATCCATCTTAAACACCCTATTAAATGAGTTGACTATTAAGAAGTTTGATGAGTTTCAACTTATTCACGATCATCTTATTAGAATGATTAATCAAGCAATAAACCTGAAATTAATAGGCATGGAAGTGAGTGAAGTCTTTCTAGTATAGTTCATATTAAACTCATTTCCTCTTAAATTCGGTTAGTTTCAAGAGGATTACAACACCCTTAAAGTGGATCTTACAAGAAATCAAGATTATGGTAGTTCAAGAGAAATGGAGGTTAAAGAAGTAAAAGAAATTATAATTTTGATCATTTACAAAAAAGAATGATTGATGATAACTTGGTTATATAATTGATTTAATTTTAAAAAATACTATTTACTAAGTTAAAATTTTAAATTAATTTTGTAAGATAGTTTTCACTTTTTAATTTTTTTTCATCCATATATGTTATTCAACTCAACTACTAACAAAGTATTTATCAATAAATTATTGTATACTTCTATTAAACTTTCTCTTTTTCTAATTTTTATAAAGGATAACACTCCTTCGTAATGATGAAGTTGAATGATAATAAATATATCACTTTTACATGAAACAAAAATAAAAAGTCAATTATATAACCAAGTTTCATTTAATATTATGGTATTGTCAATTTTCTTTTGTTTTTTAAGTTGGATAATTATAAACGCAGATTAAGATGATCTACACTATAACTTTACCCTTACCTTTATTTTCTTTTGTGCTATCATTGACTTTCACATATCTGAATCTTATTTCATCTAGTAAGAATACAGTAATTCAGTTGCAATTTCATTTAAACAAATATCAAATTTTTTTGTAAAAATTGTAAGGGCTAAGGAGAGTTGGGATGTATGGAGTTAGAGGAGCAAAAGTGAGAGGGGGACTGAGTGAAGGAAGGGTGCATGGCTGACGCGAGAGGAAAGGAGGAAGGGAGGCTGAAAGTGAATGTGAGTTAGGGGAAAAGAAGCTTGGTGGAGGGAGAAGCTTAAGAAAAAAGGCGAAGAAAGAAGATAAGGGATAGGAGAATTTTTATTTTTATTTAAGCTAACATAAATTTACTTAAACAAAAATAAAATTAAACCGTTCAATTTTTGTGCAACTTAAAATGTTTCTAATTTTTTTTATGACATGAAAATTGTTTTTTAGTATTTTATTTTTATTTTGAACTTAATAATTTTTATGTTAAAACTTAAAATGACATAAAACTAATTACATAAAATAAAATTACCATCTACCAATAAGTGTAAACACTTAAGATTAGTGCATTTTATCCTGCACTTAGAGATAAGTCATTTTTTTAGAAGTTATACATAAATAATTAATTTTGATACTATATATTTTATAATTTTTAAGAATTAATAATCTATGATATATAAATAACTTAATATTAATGAATTTTTATATATTATATGAATATTATTAAATAAAATATTAAAAAAATATTGTATGACTTTTTAAGTTTATAAATTTTTAACTTTAAATAAGAAAATACTTTTATATATTAAAAGAGACTAAATAAAATATATAAAATTTCATATTAAATTTTTTACTATTTATGTGTATATATAAAATTAATTGTACTTACTAATTTGTGTATTTATAACAAAGCTTATAATTATTAAGATTTAAAATATTTAAAATCACTTCTATATATTACATTTACTAATTCTTTAACAAAATTTACTATTATTAAAATTTAAAATATTTAGAGTCATTTCTATATATAAATAATATTTATATATTATCTTATGTATTTAATTATAATAAAATTTATAATTATTAAGATTTAAAATATTTAAAGTCACTTATATTATTGGTGATATGAATATATTTCACTATAAAATATAAAATATAAACAAATTTATTATAAATTATATTAAATTAAAATTTATTAAAATTAATTATAAAATTTTCTAAAATTTAAGTATTAAAATTATAATTGATTTATATTTATTATTTTTGTATTGTATTTTAGAAAAATGTATTAGAATTGATGATTTATAATGTTAAAAATCACAATGGCAATGACAAATTGATAAAATTCATTGTTAAACATTAAAAATAGAAAAATAATAATTAAATTATTGTGCAAAAATATCCTCACAAAAATTTAATGCAGTTCTCAAGTTACATATTAATTAAAAATAAAATTGTATCTTTACTCCAAGTCCTATTCAAATTTGATGGTATTAATATAAATTATTCAAAAATATACTTTAAACATTAAAATGTACCTTGAATTAAAAAAACTACTTACAAATTTATCATTAATTTTATTTTAAATTATATAATAAATCTTAAAATTAGTCTCTAAATTTGTCATAAAATTATATTTTTAAATTTATTTAATATATCCCGTGCTTGAATTTAGTCACTCTTTTACTTAAAAATTTTTTATAA